GGGTTGGACCCACCGTGGCACCCAATTTATTTACACACACGCGTTCCCGGCCACCGGAGCAGACATCCCCCCGCCACGCGGCCGTGGTAGGTCCCAGCCCTCCACCCCAGCAACTCCCCCACCACACCGTCTCAGCCGGCTCTGCCCGCTGGAGTAGCCGCCAGCTGTGTGAGTGCTGTTGCGCAGCTCTCCAGAGGTGGTGGGCGGAGGAAGAATTTTTTGTGCATGGCTACGCAGGTGCACACCTTAGTAGGAACATTGTTCACAACCCAGGAGATTCTGGTCTGAGGACAGCAGTGTGTGTCTTGCCCACTCTGCCATCTCGTTTGTTGGAGGATTCTGGTCTGAGGACAGCAGTGTGTGTCTTGCCCACTGTGCCATCTCGTTTGCTGGGGGAAATCAACACGGTTTCTATAAAGGGAAACCCTGCCTTACTAATCTGCTAGAGTTCTTTGAGGGGGTCAACGAACATGTGGACCAGGGGGATCCAGTGGATATAGTGTACATAGATTTCCAGAAAGCCTTTGACAAGATCCCTCACCAAAGGCTCTTAAGTAAAGTAAGTTGTCATGGGATAAGAGGGAAGGTCCTTTCATGGATTGATAACTAGTTAAAAGACAGGAAACAAAGGGTAGGAATAAATGGTCAGTTTTCGGAGTGGAGAAAGGTAACTAGTGGGGTCCCTCAAGGGTCTGTCCTGGGACAAATCCTAATCAATTTATTTATAAATGATCTAGAGAAAGGGGTAAACAGTGAAGTGGCAACATTTGCAGATGATACCAAACTGCTCAAGATCGTTAAGAAAGCTGTGAAGAGCTTCAAAAAGATCTCACCAAACAAAGTGATTGAGCGACAAAATGGCAAATGAAATTTAATGTGGATAAATGTAAAGTAATGCACAGGGAAAAAATAATCCCAACTATACATACAATACAATGGGGACTAATTTGGCTCCAACTACTCAAGAGAGAGATCTTGGAGTCATTATGGAAACATCCAGTGTGCAGCGGCAGTCAAAAAAGCAAACATAATGTTGGGAATCATTTAAAAAGGCATAGAGAATAAGACAGAGAATATCTTATTGCCTCTGTATAAATCCATGGTATGCCCACATCTTAAATACTGCGTACAGATATGGTCACTGCATCTCAAAAAAGATATATTGGCGTTGGAAAAGGGCAACAAAAATGATTAGGGGTTTGGAATGGGTCCCATATGAAGAGAGATTAAAAAGATTTGGACTTTTCAGCTTGGAAAAGAGGATACTAAGGGGAGATATGAGAGAGGTCTATACAATCATGAGTGGTGTGGAAAAAGTGAATAAGGAAAAGTTATTTACTTATTCCCACAACATTAGTACTAGGGGCCACCAAATGTAATGAATAGGCAGCAGGTTTAGAACAAACAAAAATAAGTTTTTCTTCACTTAGCACACAGTCAACCTGTGGAACTCCTTGCCAGAGGATGTGGTGAAGGCTAGGACTTTAAGGGTGTGTCTAAACTACATGCCTCCGTCGACGGAGGCATGTAGATTAGCCAGATCGGCAGAGGGAAATGAAGCCGCGATTAAAATAATCGCGGCTTCATTTAAATTTAAATGGCTGCCCCGCTCTGCCGATCAGCTGTTTGTTGGCAGATCGGGGCAGTCTGGACACGCCGCGTCGACAAAGAAGCCTTTCTTGATCGGCACAGGTATGCCTC